CTCACAGCAGCAGTCTTCACAACAACAGCCCTCACAACAACAGCCCTCACAACAGCAGTCCTCACAACAGCCCTCACAACAACAGTCCTCACAACAACAGCCCTCACAACAGCCCTCACAACAACAGCCCCTCACAAAGCAGTCCTCACAACAGCCCTCACAACAGCAGCCCTCACAACAACAGTCCTCACAACAACAGCCCTCACAGCAACAGTCCTCACAACAACAGCCCTCACAGCAGCCCTCACAACAACAGCCCCTCACAACAGCAGCCCTCACAACAGCAGTCCTCAACAACAGCCCTCACAACAACAGTCCTCACAACAGCCCTCACAACAGTCCTCACAACAACAGCCCTCACAACAGCAGTCCTCACAACAACAGCTCTCACAACAGCAGTCTCTTACAACAGCCCTCACAACAGCCTCTCACAACGACAGCCCCTTCACAACGGTCCCTCAATGACAACAGCTGCTCACAACAGCCCCTCACAATACCTACAGCCCCTGACAACAACAGCCCCTCACAACGATGACAGCCTCACACAACGATGACAGTCCCTCACAACAACGACAGCCCCTCACAACAATAGCCCTTACTGGGGCAGATTGTTTGCACTGTCCCTACATCCAACTTGTATTTTGAATTTTTCGTGGTTTTGATTTCCTTCCTTGTTTTTGACCCATTGTCTTACTAGTCTTTCTCCAAAGGTTGCTCTGGTTACAGAGTGCTGTGACCTGGGTGGTTTTATTTGGAAGCAGCATGCATTGGGGTATGAACTTTTCTCTCTTCATCCCTGTAGGATGTGGGACTAGCTGGTGTCGCTCCACTTTGACTTCAACATTGACTTCCGTGTGGAAGGCAGGAAATCTTGGAAAGTTCTTCTGGGCCCCGATGTAGAAGAGAGCGCAGATTGGGCATTGAGAAGGTAAGGAACCAGTTGACAAGCATACCGCCTGGGTGATTCAACCTGACTGTTGGATTAGTACTTTGCTGTTGTTAATCTATATTCTTTGTAAACTAAAAGTCGATATGTACATTATTCTAGCAGTTTCCAAGGCAAAGGTCATCAAGTTAAATGCAAATCAAAACCTTGACCTGGATACTTTTCTCTAAGCCCGAACTTCTGTAATAACTCATCTCATAAAATTGAGGGGGAAGGCAGGTGGTGAGACATGAAACATGATACATGAAACATGATAACATGATATCCTGTTATCATTGGTCTCTGTGAGTGCAGCGCTACACAAGGCCAACCTCATTACTGAATACAGAGTGCTGGTGGCACAGTGGTTTAAGCCTTGGCTACAAACCAGAAGATCAGCAGGTGGTTCAAACCCACCCGCCTCTCTGTCATAGAAAGATGTGGCATCTGCTTTCATAAAGGCTACAGCCTTGGAGAGCCTGTGAGGCTAGTCTACTCTTTCTGAAAGGGCTGCTGGGAGTCTGAATTGAGTTGACTCGAGGGCAAGAGGTGAAGGTCATTACATATGTGGATCAGCCGGCACGTAGATTGAGCTTCTATGGGTGTAGGTGCTGACATGATGAACGGCACAGGGTCTCCCCTCAGGTTGCTCCCTGTCTGCACGTATCAGGAGACCGTAGTAGACGTGTTCCATGGGCGTCAGGAGTACGGTGCTGGACCACAGATGGGTGTCCAGAGGAGGGTTGGGAATCGTAGCTCACTAGTTACACCTTGGGCTGCTAACCACAAGGTCAGCAGTTTGAAATCACCAGCCTCTGCACAGGAGAAAGATGGGGCTTTCTACTCCCATTGAGTTAAAAGTCTCGGAACCCCCACCCTTGGGGGCAGTTTTATACCGCCGTCTAGAGTCACCATCGACTCAGTGGCAGTGGGTTTGGTTTGGTTGGGAATCAGTGAAAGTGTCAGAGAAGGGACAATGGTGCTGAAATTCTTTTTGGTGGGACATCCTGGGGGTGAGGGGGCTAGTCAAATTTTAAAACGTGATAATAGAAATTCAGTTTTGAATGCATAACTTCGGTCATAACTCTTTAGCTTGGTAGAAGACTTTATTGGCTTGCCCAAAGTTTTTTAAGCCGTTGAAAGATGGTCACTGCATTCTTTTCCCCTCCAAGAACAGAAACATATTTTTAAGAGTTCGTGTAGACCAAGGTTTTCTGTAGAAGCCCATTGCCTAGTTTTCTTTTCTCCCAAGTTGGGGAAAGATCGGTTCTTCCTATTGTGTTGTGTTTTGTTTTTTCCTGGAGAGGAAGCCTTTTAGTTGTTGGCATGCCAGAAGTTAAGAATGAGCTAGGAATGGAATCCTGAGGCCGTTGAGCTCAACATTCTAAGTTTGATACTATGCCTTTTATGGAGTAGTGGTCATAGCATAGAAATGGTTTGTTAAACATGACATGGTTGCAGTAAACGATCTTGGAGCAGGGAAGTGAGGAAAGTTATTGGAAGAGTTCACATTGGAATTGTAGGGGTGTTGTGAGCAGGGCCCGAGTGGTCCAGTGATAGTTGTTTTAACTTTGTGGCAGCCCTGATGGCTGCTTTTACAGGTTCTGAGATAATTTGGCTCAAAGTCAGTCTGGAGCTCGGTTCTCTTTAGCATTTTCAACTCATAAATTCTGAGCAAAGTGGGAGGCTCAGTGTCATAGTTGGCCTTTAAGGATTAATGCTGTTGGAAATGTTCTGCTTGACCAGTAACAGTGTTTTATTGACTTACCTGGCTCAGCCCCATGCAGCATCTTGCACACAGTAGGCACGCAGTTAAGGGACCGCATCGGGTGAGACTACCAAGCCCTCATCCCCCCCTAAGTGTATGAAAATACATTTGTTTGCTGAATACTAGCTAGCCCTCAGACATACAGTTAGAATGGAAGGTGATGGGGAACTAAAGGGTCTCCACTTTGGGAATCTCAAAGCTTATCAGGAATTTGTCTCTTCTCATCTGTACAATCAACTCTCATCTCTCTGATCTAATAAGGAATTGGGAGAATCGAAAATGTGAGTGCTCCCCTCCACCCCCCATCCCTACACTAAACGCCCAGAAATGTAAAAGGTAGAAAAATTGATTTTATTTGCATTTAGCATTTCTCCAGCCTCTGAAAGGAAAATCTGCAGCTGTGAAGGGAGGAGGGAAAGCCACAAGCACCTTGACATATCTACAGATTGAATAATATACTCTTTAATAATTGGGAGTTGATTCTCTTTCCAGTGGGGACTGTAAACTTTCTCTAAAACGGATATTCTAGAAACTGGTTTATCTTTTAAGACAGCCTCGACACTGTTGGTTCTTAGTTTGTCGTCCCCTTCAGAAGAATTTTCTTTCTCTCTTCTCCAGGTGAGGGTCCCCTGTGAGAGAGGGCTTCCTGGACTCCTTGGACGCCTCACCTCCAGGATGAGCTCTGCAGTGTCGTGACCCTCGGGGTTTGGGTGAGTAGCCTGAAGGATGGGAGCACTGGGGGAAGCACGCCCAGCGTAGAGAGATCCCTCGAAACGTTTGTCAAGCAAATCCCTTGTGCCTGGGTGGCAGCAGGTGCTGGGAGATAGGGATGAACAAGACGGGCTTGGTCTTAGCCTTCTTGGAGCTCCCTGTCCAGGGGCGAGGTGAGTATGACCCAGATGACCACATGACTACACCTCTGGTTCCAGAACACGGAAAGTGTTGTGAAGGAGACGCAGGCTTCTAGAGAATGCGTGTCTGGGGGCCTTCTCGTAGACCACCGGTGTGATTAGGAGAGCCTGCTTCCCCGAGACTTTACTCATTCATTCCCTTCCTTTGTTCGGCCAACACGGTGAAGTCGACATGGGAGAAGGGGGACAGGTGGCAGGGTGGCCCCTGCACCTCGGACATAAACAGCGGGTTGGGTGAAGGCGCCCCGTGCTAAGACTGCCAGAAGAGCCCTTCGGGGAGGTAGGCACAATAGGGACGAAGAGTCCGCCCCTCCTGTCAGGTTAGGGACCTCAAGAGAGGGGTGTCAGGTCGTTTCAGGGGGGACGTTCTATGCTGCTGTGGGGTGCTATCGAGTTGGTTCCATAGCGGCCTTATGCCAAGCAGATGGAAACACGGCCCGGGTCTGCGCCATCTTCCCAGGGGTTCCTGTGCCTGAGCCCATTGTTGCAGCCACTGTGGCAGGCCGTGTCCTTGAGGTCTTCCCTGTTCCACTGCCCCTGCTCTTTACTGAGCATGCTGTCTGTCTCCAGGGACTGCCCCTCCTGACAACATGTCCAACTACGTGGGATGCAGTCGCCCATCCTTGCCTCTAAGGAGCACTCTGACCATATGTCTTCCAAGACGGATTTGCTTGTCCTTTCGCAGTCCAGGGTACCTTCAGTATTCTTATCCAGCGCCACAATTAAACTCATCGGTTCTTCCAAGTGTGCCTTATTCACTGTCCAACTTTCACATTCATAAAGACAATCGAAAACACCAGGGCTCGGGTCAGGCGCCCCTTAGCCCTCAAAGTAGCTTCAGTAGAGAAGAAGAATTTGCCCTCCAGTCTGTTAAGTTAGACATCAAGAGGGATGGCCAGAAGGCAGTTGTGTATACAGGTCTGAAGGGTGGAAGTGAAACCTGACCCGGAGATGTAAGTCTGGAGACAAGGAGAAGAGGAGGGAACCCAGGGCAGCACCCGTCCTGGCGAGCTCTAGATTGGGTAGAGGGAGGAGCCTGCAAGGGCCAAGCAGGACGAAACCACTGAGGAATATTGGATAGGAAAACCCAGGCAGGGTTGCTTCCAGGAGGGGAATCGGAGAGATCGGGAAAGTGAGTTTGGAGGAGTGGTCGCTGGTGACCATGACAAAAGCAGTGGCTTCTGTGATGGGGTAGAAGTTGATCAGTAGTGGGTAGCAGATGCCGAATGACCTCCACGCTCTGAAGGACCTAGACTCTGAGGACAGTGGAGTGCTGGAGATGAGATTGGTTTTGCTTTGCTGCTTTATTTTAAGCTGGAAGACACTGGCGCCTGTTTGGATACTGGCTGGCTCGATCAGAGGATGCAGGAGATAGGAAGGGCTCTCAGAGGGCTGGACCACCTGTAGGAAATAGTGGGCTGTTTTCTCTGGTTCCGTAATAGAGACGTGAGGATGGGTACTGATGGGACTAGTCTGCAGGTATAGTGAGGAGGACTCCCCTCCTAATGACTGCTCTCCCCAGGCAGTAGGAAGTGGCCCTCTGTGGGAGAGAGAGGGTGCTGGATTCGAGTGTGAAAGCGAGCTACCATCTGGTCAGTCTCAGCTCATGGGGCCCCACGTGCGTCAGGGTGGAGCCCTGTTCCAGAGGGGGATCAGGGGCAGGGTTTTTAGAAATAGATTTCCAGGCCTTCCTTCTGAGGAGCCTTTGGGTAGACTCAAACTGCCAACCTTTGAGTTGGCAGCCAAATGCCTTAACCGTTTTCACAGGTAGGCAGTGGAGAGGGTGCGAAGTAAATCTTAGGCGGATTAGGCGCCGGAGCGTGGCAGTCCTGGCGGTGACTTAGCACAGGGCTGCTGTGCTGAAGCAGCTCCAGCCCCACCTTTGCCTGGCGCCACAGTGAGGAAGAGCAGACTCGAGCCAGTGCCATGCAGAACACAGGCTCTACCCCGTCCATGGCTGTGACCGTGGACCAGCCCCCTAACCTTCCAGAACCTCGGTTTTTGCCCGCCTTCTGGAGTATGAAGAGCCCTAGAGGTGTGGTGGTTACACATTGGGCTGCTAACTGCAAGGTCAGCAGTTTGAAACCATCCTCGGGAGGATGATAAGACTTTCTACTCCCATAAAGAGTTAGTCTCGGAAACACACAGAGCAGTTCTCCCCTGTGAGCTGGAATGGACTCGCGGCAGTGAGTCTGGTCTGTTGGGTTTTAGAATGGGGATAGCAGTAGTGCTCGCCTAGGGGAGTCGGCGTTAGTGAGTTAGCATGCACAGGCCTTAGAATTGTGCCTGGCACATAAGCTATTAAGATTTTAAATTGTTATTAAAACTTAATGCACATTTTAATGTTATTTTTAAAGAGCAATATTGTGTAAGTAGATCAGAGGAATTAAGTTGTCATATTTGGGGGAAATCTCTCTCTCCACTTAACCATTCCATAGTAGCCCCTTTCCAGTCCTTAAAGGTTAAGCAGTCAAGCGCTAAACTGCCAAAATAGGTGCTCGAGTCTAAGTGCTTCACCTTTTGGAGTCTAAGGTAGATGTTTTGTCTTATTGTCAGAGAGGCTAAAGGTAGGAGAACTTACTTCAGCAACTTCCTTGGCTTAAGGGATCGGACCACAGCGTCTTTCTTCCCGATGGTTTGTGCGCCCACAAGCCTCTCATGGCTTCTGTGGTGGCTCTTCATCCATAAAGTAAGGAGCGGAACAGGAGGACCCTCAACGAAGTCATTCCCATGTGTGTGCTCCATCCATCCATCCATGAAACGCCTGCCCATCAACGTTGGGGAAGTGTGCATATCCAAAAGTCCTTTGAAAATTGGTGTTCTGTGTTCACATAGCATTCTCTCATTAGACCTTATCGTTGCTGCTGCCACCTTCTCAGAAATGTCTCGCAGGTTAATTAAGAGATTTAATATTTGTAATATGCTTCGAGTCTCTGGAAAGAGAGTAGCACACATGCCAGGTGTCGCTGTCCTTTGAGAAGCTGAATAAGTCACATAGGTTCCAACCACGTTCGCAGGACATGCTAGGTATTGTAGACAGAGCCAAAGAACTTTTAAGGCCCTTGCCTTCAAAGATCCTCGTTTTCTTAGGAGGAAGACAAAATCCATGCATAGCAACCACTGAGCAGAATGTGTGCTTGATGCTGTGTGCGGGGCACAGAAAGTAGCAGAAGTAGCAAAGGGCAGTGGTGAGGGCTCTGTCTATGGTAACTGTTTCTCTTCTTCTGAGGTAAATGTTTTCTGGGCACTCTGTCCATACAAGATTCACTTGCTACTCTGTCTTACCAGTGACTCATGATGGGTACTGAGAGGTTACAAAATGGCTTATGATGATTTATATTGAGTTTGACAACTACAATCTATTTTATGGTCTAAAGGGGGGCGGGGGTGGTGGTGGAGCCCAGCCAGCTGAAGATGGCAGGTGATAAAAATACAACCTTAAATATAATCAAGACCAAAATGGTTTTTAGGATTTCCCCCCCCCTTGAGGTCAGCATAGAAACAGTGCATAAACATTTTACTTTCTTTTCTTTTTCCTGACTTCTTTATTCAAATGCCAAAAAAAAAAAAAAAGTGTGCACTCAGAACTTATACAAATACAGGTGAAATAGCTGGTACTGTGGCACATTTCCAAATGAAGACATAGCCATTTGACCCTTGACAGTGATCATTTTAAAAAGTGTTAAAAACTAGACTCACTGCCACTGAGTCGATTCTGACTCGTAGCGACCCTGTAGGACAGAGTTGAGCCGCCTCTGTGGCTTACCAAGACTGTAAGTCTGTACGAGAGTAGAAGGCTGCCTCTTTCTGCATCCTCCATGCCCAGACCGGGCCTCCGAGCCTCCCAGCTTCAGTCCAGCTCTCGAGTCTCTCAGAGGACATAAGCTGTCAGGCCCCAGCTGCTTCTGGCTCCCTTTGATTTGTTAGAAGCCATCCGTCAGCTCTCAGAGCAGTCCCCAGGTGGCACGGTGGATGGATGCCCAGGACCGCTGAGGGTAAAGTTGGAGGTTCAAGCCCACCCGCAGGCATCTTGAAAGGCATAGCCACCTGCTTCTGAGAAATCAGCCATCGGCAGCCCCAGGGGCACAGTGCTCTGGGGCACACGGGTCGCCGTGAGTCTGGGCACGCAGGCCTCCAGCACGAGCGGGTGAGGACAGTGCTCCCAGAGCACCATGTGGGGAGGGAGCGGTGACATCACCATTTATATTTTGCCTCCCCTGAAGTAGCCCCAGCTGCTTTGAGTAAAAGGCTTTCTCATTTGTTCTCTAGTGAGGTTTGGGAATATTTTCTTGACCTTTATGCTTCAAATTAGCCTTGCAAAGTTACTCCAAAAAAAAAAAAAAGCAAAAAGCCTTCGCCTTCCTAGATGTTCTTTTACCTTCAGAATTATGGATCATTCCGGTGCTTTAGCCATGCCGGCAGCCCTGTCATTAAGCAGTGAGAACAGAAGACACACCAGCGGCATAATCTAATAAGATCATGGAAATCGGGTAGAACTGATCGCATTTGGTGTTAGTTCAATATCTGGTTCCAGAAGTGCCCCCTTTAATGTCCTCCAGCCCCACCCTGAGACCCGGAGACTAGAAACATCTCCGAGAGTCTCTTGCTTGGCACTGGCCTGGGTTGGTTGCATTTCCGCGCCACCGCGGGCCATGGGGCTGGCGCGCCAGGTCGCTGCTGTGGATCCGCAGTTCCCGGTGGTTTCAAGCATTGTGTTAAAAAAGAAGAAAACCCCAGGTTTTTGAGGGTTTGGTCTTAAGAAGTAGTCGTGTTCAGCGGGGCCGTACAGCTTTTGTATGGCTACAGATAACAATGCTCTTCTCCTCTGCTGGCTAAGGCCCAGTACAGGATGCTTGGGTGGGAGGCTCGCTCTGCAGACCGTCTTAGTCACTCTTCAGCGCCTTTAGCCCCCCAAGCGCCTTGGCCAGAGTGTGAGGGTCGCCCTCTGCTTTCATCCTGTGAGACGCCAAGCAGTGACCCGGTGTGTGCCGCACGGAAGGGTGTCTGACATCTCTGTCTCCACCCACCACATTTTTGGGTGACCTCTTCCCACAGGGTCCCTGGAGATGCGAGATTCCCCTTGGGCAGTAGGAGGCACACACCCAGAGAATGCAGGAGCTGCGAGGGGCAAGGACCCACTTCCACAGCAGAGAAAAACCAAGAGGAAAAAGGCACCCCGGCCACCAGCGCTAAGGGACGCGCCCAGCAAGCAGTGGGCCGCGGCCACTGCCCTCAGCAGCTGCCGCTGCTGCCGCCCGAGCAGAACTCGGCGAGCCTGTCCCGCGTGTGACTGCAAGCTCAGGATTCCAATCAATGCATTCCAGTAACGCTAAACTGAGGAGCTCTCCGTCAGGCAGCGCGCAGAGGTAAGGGCTCGGGCCCCGCCCCACCCCGTGGCCCAGGGCTCCTGGGGTGAGGGGAGAAGGAGCAAATAGACTGGGAGATAGGAAGGGCTTGGTACCCAGGCTGATGGGAGGACCCAGTTTCCTTTGTGATCCCCTCTCGGCCACCTCCCTCCCCCGCCAAAGCACAAGCCAAGGGACCTTAAAGACCCCACCAGTGGAGTCAGCTGAGCTTTATACAAACTAGGAGACTGAGCCCTAGGGTAGAGAGCAGGTGTCAGGTCCTGGAGTGAATGACTAGCCCCGGACGCACACTGTGCTGCTCTTTCCTCTATCACCCGCACCCCTCCAGTTTATCTCAGCGTTGTGCTGCTCCTTGGGAGGATCTGTAGGCCGGGGATCCCCCTAACCCTACTGTCACCCACAGTGTGCCCCATGCTCTGCTGGACCTGCTCATGTTTTCCAGCAGGGACGCTGCACTCTCATTACAGCTGTCCCTTGTCATCAGCCTGGGGGCGGGTCGTATTTTGATCTTAGCGATGCCTGTTTGTTTACTCTGAGCCAGTCTTCAGAGTCCCTTCTCTCTGTACATAGAAACCGTTGTCCCTTATTGACAGAAGCCCTAGAGCCAGGCCCTGTGTGACTCCAGGGTTCCTGAGGCCTGGCAGGGCCACCCGCTCACTCGATCTTCCTCACAGTAGAAAGCTGAGGTGGGAGTAGGGGTGGAAGGAGCAAGTTAGCAGCCATGGGGAGGTGGGTCTTCCTTCCCCCACGGCCCCTGCTGCACCCCATCTGATCTGCCACTGTTGTCTGCTTCTTCTAGTAGCCCTAAGTCAAAGCAGGAGGTGATGGTCCGTCCCCCTACAGTGATGTCCCCCTCTGGAAACCCCCAGCTGGATTCCAGATTCTCCAATCAGGGTAAACAGGGGGGCTCAGCCAGCCAGTCCCAGCCATCCCCCTGTGACTCCAAGAGTGGGGGCCATGCCCCTAACGCACTCCCTGGCCCAGGTGGGAGCATGGGGCTGAAGAATGGGGCTGGAAATGGTGCCAAGGGCAAGGGGAAAAGGGAGCGAAGTATTTCCGCCGACTCCTTTGATCAGAGAGATCCTGGGACTCCCAACGATGACTCTGACATGAAAGGTATGTCTACAAGATCTCGGAGGCTCAGAGGGAAGTAGGTGTCCTGCGGGAAGGCCTCTGACCCTGTTAGGCGCTGCAGCGCCTAGTAGCAGCCCATTGGGGAGAATAGACACCAGCCCAAGGCCTTCCCACAGAGGCTCCTGAAACTAGGCAGCAAACACCCCTTGTGGAGGAGTCCCCACCCTTGAGGGTGCAAGTGGGCTAGGTGTCACCCTGGGGTATCACGAGGCCCCACTCCATTCTTGGGATGTGTCTGGCCAACATGCTGTGGGAGCTTCATGCCAAGCCAATGCCTCCAGCCTGTGTGCAGCTGGCCTACCTTGGCAGCCCCTCTCTTCTCCATCAGACGGGTCCTCCAAGATCCAGGTCTTGTGTGGACATGGGGAGGCCCGCCTTCGTGGCCCTGGCGCTGGTCTGGCTGTGGCACCGCTGATTTCACAGTGGCAGGGACGAGTGGCTGCATGTGGTAGCCATCTGGCAGGCCCAAAGTGGACTGCGCCAGGATGAGTGTGCCAGCTGTGGTTTCTAGGCCTTTTCCCTCCTGGTTATCAGACCAAGAATTCTAACCGGGAGGTGGGGCGGGGGCCAGAGCACGAAGTTAGTATTCAAGGAAGGAAAGTGGGGCACCCCAATCCAAACGGGAGAGGAGAACCTGAGTGACGACTTCCGCCTGCCTCACGTGTCTGCAGGGCCTTTTAGGAGCCCCGGCACTTTGCTCTGTGCTCTTCAAGGGTCTGAGTGCTCCTAGAACACAGATCCTTAACCAAACAGCTACAATAAACTTGGATAACTGCTGAAATCAGAGATGCCGGGTGGCTCTGAGATCAATGAACAGAGGCTTGCGTTCACGTCCCAGGTGTTCCCAGAGGCTTCCAGGAGGGGTGGGGAGTGGGCATTGATGGGTCTGAGAAGTGAGGCCGTGGAGGCAGAGTGCTTTAGAGTCAGTCCTTTAGGGAGGAGAGCATTTGAAGTTTCATGCCTCGGAGAGAGGGTGTTCACGTAGCAAGGTAGTACCTCCTCCTGGAATTCTCAGAGTGGGATTGTGTTGTGATACAGTAAATGCTGGCACAGCGAAGGCGTTTTCTGATTTCGTTTATGACCTGAGTCTTTCCATTCTTTTAGAATGTAATTCTGCTGACCACATAAAGTCCCAGGATTCCCAGCACACACCACACTCAATGACCCCGTCAAATGCTACAGTCCCCAGGTCTTCCACCCCCTCCCATGGCCAGACTACTGCCCCAGAGCCCACACCTGCTCAGAAGACTCCAGCCAAAGTGGTGTACGTGTTTTCTACTGAGATGGCCAATAAGTAAGTCGATGGCTGTGTGGTACTGTTTGAGTATGACTTGGAGAAAGACGGGGCTCTTTATCCCGTAAAGTAAGTCGATGGCTGTGTGGTACTGTTTGAGTATGACTTGGAGAAAGACGGGGCTCTTTATCCCGTAAAGAGCTACAGTCTCGGAAACCCACAGGGGCATTTCTGCCCTTACGCTGCCCTGTAGGGTCACTGTGAGTCAGCATCGACTCCATGAGACGAGTTTTGGGTAAGTTTGGAGAGACAAGGTCTTGTTTGTTTTATAGATTGGTTCCCCCCCCCCTTTTTTTTTAATCAATTTATTGGGGCTCATATAATTCATCACAATACATAGATCAATTGTGTAAAGCACATCTATACATTTGTTGCCCTCATTATTCCCAAAATTCCCTTTCCTCTTGGGTTCCCGCCCCCCCCCTTTTTAACCACTTGTGTTATTATTGATTAAAATTAGCAGTACAGAAAGAGGTAAAATAAATTATGAAAACTTTCCCAATCCTGCTTCCCAGAGGCAGCATCCGGTCAGACTTGCTTCCCTGACCTTACGGAAATGTCTTGTGCTCACGCAGTTGATGTGGATACCTTCTTGTAGAGAACCTTCGTTCAGAGTCCCCATCTAAGAGGGGGAGCAGGGAATTCCACAACACCTAGTAGTTGCCTGAGGCTGTCAAGATTCACTTTGAGTCTTAGGTAAAAATTCCTGAGTGGAATAATACAATTTTTTAAAAATACATGTCTACAATCAACTTAATTGTTGTTTATTTAATTGGCATAAGTAACAGATGTTTTAGGATAATTAAACGACATAAATACCTAAAAAAACAAACTGGAATTCTGACAACAGAGATGGCTACTTATGTGGGTTGTTGGAGATGGGCCAGTTAATTAATTAATTAATTTTTAATTTAAAAAAAAAATTGTTTTAACCAAAAGTGTGATTATACCCTACAAAAAGTTTTCTGGTTTTTAATTTATTATTGTTATTCTTTTTACCCCATTCAGGATTTTTACCTAAGATGCAAAGTGACTCTTGCCAGCCTGTACTAGGTGTTGTGAAATTTCCCGCTCACATTTCTTGGGTTGGGCCTTTGAACTAGGGTTCTCTAGAAACACGGCAGTGGATTGTTTCGTGGCAGAAAATTGTAAGGTTCTTTTATTGTTTGCTAGTGCCCATTTTGAGATTAGATAATGATTACCTTTTGATTTTTAACTTCTGAATTTTGAGAGTAAATGATAAAGTCAGCCATCTGTAATGGAAGCTTATTCCTCTTGATTTTTTTCTCATTCAAAATTTCTGGTGCTTCTGTAATATCCCACCTTCCCCACCTTACCAGTACAAGCTGAGACTAAGTTGCTTGGGAATTGGAGTTCATGAACTGAAAATAAGTCCTACCCCGTGCTGCCTTTTCTGTGTTTGCAGAGCTGCGGAAGCTGTATTGAAGGGCCAGGTCGAAACGATTGTCTCTTTCCATATCCAGAACATCTCTAACAGCAAGACAGACAGAAGCACAGCCCCTCTGGTATGTAATTTTTTTTAAGTGGAACATTTGGTTTAAAGCGGGGAGACCAGACTTCCATTGGCAGGGAGATAATCTTGAGGGAATGAGGTACAACCTTGGCATTTAACTTGCCTATGATATTGGGAATGAGCCCTGGTCACAATAGTGTGCTGCGAATTGAGCTGTTAAACACAAGGTCGGTGGTTCGAAACCACCAGTGTCTCTGGGAGAAGGATGAGGCTTTTATTCCTGTAAAGAATAAAAGTCTCGGAAACCCACCGGGCAGTTCTGCCCTGCCTTTTGGGGTCAGTGAGTTAAAATGGACTCAGTAGAAGTAAACTGGAGTCATTGTTCTCTGAGTTTATGGCAGGGTTGGACAACATCCGTGTAAGGCCCACGAAATCATCAGTACTCGTTAACATCCTCGAAGCGAGGCAGTTCCAGCCGTCACATAGGGGTGAGGTAGTGAACTCTGACCAGTCTGGCCCCAGAGGGGTGCTATAAATATCCAAATGGCCCTTGGCAGAAGAGGAAGGTTTCCCACCCTTGGTTTGCGGTGCTGAGTGGTCTTAACTCACACTGAGCCCGCCTTTCCTACTCACATGCTGACAAACTGCTGAATGACTCGGGGGAGTAAGGTGCAGAGAGAGGGGTTTTACAGATTGTGTAGGATTTCTACCATGTAATCATCTCTGGGAAAATCTGATTCACGTCCTGTGGAGGAAACAGGGTTTAAAAAATAAACACACACACACACACACACACACACAGAGTTGAGTTAGTTGATGATGAGAGAAAAAAGCAGCCACTGTCCCATAGGCCACATGATAATAATACAGTAATTAGAACCGTAGTGACTTTCAATACTTGTGATTGCTTGATGGTGCCACAATTATTAACTACATTCGCCTGTCTACCCTCCGAAACTTATCACCAAGTATGAGTTACCTTAGGAAAAGCATACAGTTGGCACTATCATACATCTAGGTATTTCTTAAGTGACAAGCATGACCCAGGCATGCCTTCAACACGGTGGGGGATGCTAAGAGGTTCAAAACACAGTCCCTGATGTCACAGAGCTTAAAATCTAGTGTTAAGAGGGTGATGGGGGAGTTACAGGGACTACAAATGGCCAAAGTGACAGTTCAAGATTAAAAAGCAATGATGTCCGCTTTGTGGGTCAAAAGAAGCCCCCACTGGGCTCTCTTAGACTGAGGAATTGCCTGTTGCATCTGCCCCTCCAACTGCTCAGGGCTTTCATTGTCCTTGGTTGCCCTTGACTCGCCTCCAAGCCCTGGCGAGCCCAGTAGAACCGAGCAGAGCGCTCGCTGCCCAGGCGGGTGCCGTCTCCACAGTCAGTGCCGTGCTTCAGCACGTAGTTTCAGTATTGGACGGAAGCATACCGGATAAACACCTGTTGTCACCCATAGGGCTTTCAAGAGTTACAGCCTTGGGAAATCACAGGGGCAGGCCTACCCAGTCGGCATCCACTTGATGGCAGTGAGTTTGGTTTGACTTTTAAAAGTAGGTCGACAGGCCTTCGTTCTTTGTCATAAACTGGAGGTGCCACTGAAGCCTGTCTCCTATGGGTGGCCTTGCTGGTATTTGAAATACGAGTAGCTGAGCAACACGCAAGCTCTCGAGCGTGAATGCAGATAGATATCCGTGTGTGTTTCGAGCGTGTGTTGTGCCGGAATGCACAGTGTACATGCAATGTTGACCAGTATGCATGTGACTTAATAACAGCTCTCAGTGTAGTTATCACCTCCACCTGTTCTGCTAAACCCCAAACCACGCCCACTGCCATTGAGTCAGTTCCAACACGTGACCCCGAAGGACAGAGTAGAACTGCTCTGTAGGCTTTCGGGTCTGCACATCTTTAAGAGACTGCCTCTTTGTCCTAAGAGCAACTGGTGAGTTTGAACCACCGGCCTCTTGAATAGCAGCCTAATGCCCACAGGGGAACTTTTGTCTTCTCTGGTGTGACATTGAAATTGGAAAAGGAGCTAGGGAATCGGGACCCAGGAAACAACCATGGCTCTAATTCTAAAACGAAAAGGGTGGCACCAAACTTGTTTCTTCTGTCCCGCTCCCCAAACAAACAAAACCCCGCCATCAAACCCAAGCGGAACATAGCCATGGCAGGGAAATGAAGGCGCCCTCCACAAGATGGTCATCCAGGGTCATCTAGATTCAACTGGGCCTTTCTACACAAACCTATACCTACAGACATGTATGTGAAACATGTGCACACAGTCACAGGATGTAGACACTCCCAAGACGCAGCGTTGGGTAGACATCACACAAAGTGCTCATATACAGGGAGGCTCATCATGATATGCGTACAGATTTATTTGTACACATGCAAACATTCCGGAGTATATGTAAGGGGCAGTAAGTAGGACCCTTAGGACCTAAAAACCAAATTGATTCTGACTGGTAACCACCGCACACGTGTCACAGTAGGACCACACTCTGCAGGGTTTTCACACGGTGACCTTTCAGAAGCTTGTCGCCAGGCCTTCCCAGGGGCCCTGTGGGTGGTTTCGACCCACCAATCTTAAGGTTAGGGTGTGCTATCAAGCAGCACAAACCTTTGCAGCCCCAAGGAACTCTTGGGAGCCTTCTGAAAACCAAACCCGCTGCCCTGGAGTGGGTTCTGACTAGCAACGTTGTTGGACAGTCGGATTGTTCCTCTTTCTCCCAAGGGGTGGGTGGTGGGTTCCAACTGCCGTCCTTGTTGTCGCTCCCTGCCCGGCCCCCTCTAGGTACCTGGGGGTATGGAAATGCAGACTGGCTAAAGACTGCACATAGGAGCAAAGGAACATCCAAAGGGGATCCCGAGGCTGTCCAAAGATCCTGGGCAGTTTGGGGAGCTGACTCTTTTCCTTCACCCCCCTTTTTTTTTCATTGTATTTTGGTGAGAGGAGACACAGCGAATTAGGTTCCCATTTGACAGTTCCTACACACGTCATCCCAGTCACATTCGTTATCTTGTTCATCGTGGGTGAACGTGGTCACGATGCATCCTGGCTGCTCCCTTTGCAGTCCTCCAGTTTCCCCACCCCCTTGATCGCCACCTCTTTCCTGTAATCGTTGGCCCTGGGGTCTCCCATGGATGGGTATTAATGTAGCCCTGACTGTCATCTTTTATTTGTGTGTCGGCCTTATTTCCTTCCCCGCCCTCAGGAAGTCTCAGCCCTGTGAAAGTGCAGGCCCAGCTCCTGTCCATGCTGTCACCTGCTGCTGGCAAGGGCACCTTCACCCAGGGGCTGCTTAATAAGTAAAACCGAGGCAGCCGCCCAGCCCGTAAGAAGGGCAGTCTGCTGCCTATTGGAAAGAACGGCCGAGAGACACTCTGGGCTCGATGGCCTCAGATTTCTCGACACACGCTTCCTGCCTGCAGATTCTCTTACTCCAGTGCATGTACAAATTCTTATCAAATATGCAATCAGTGATCACAAACTGAAAACAGAAACCAGAGCTGTCAGGCCCCCTGGAAATTCCAGGAGAGGAGTACTGGGCAGTCACGGAGCGTGAGGCGCCTTGGCAACAGAGGGGCCCTGCCTGCCTCCGGTCCCTCCTCCGGGGCCAGCGCCGCTGTGGCCTCTCCCACCTCTCCCTCCAGCTGGAAACACCCGACCCTTTGACTGAACTTGATGGACGAGACGGTGACAGAGCCTGTTGTAACTTTCAGGGAAAAGAAGGTGTGAGGAACAGCCTCCCACATACCAAGAAACTAATCTCTCCCCCGAATCAGATACAGAGTAGCTGTGTGACATCAAACCTGTTCCCTGAAAGAGATCCTCGAATGTTCTCGCTCTGGCGGAGCGGGGCTCCCCGGCGTTCTTGTAGCTATTGAAACCTAATCGTCTGCGAGGGAGAGAGGATGCCATTTGATGGGAAAGTTAAGAAGGGACGAAAGAAAGGAAAAATCAAACTGTCCCCGCGTCCGTGGCAGGGTTGTGCACCGGCAGTGTCTGCGCAGCGCCAGCGTAGCTCCGGGGGGCCTGGGCGAGTGCTTCGAGGAACGTAGCTTTGCTCTTTTAATTGCCCATTCTGTACAGTATGCCAGTGGTCTTTACAGTCTTGTTTATCTCCAGAACACACAGATCGCCTCCCTTCGGAGTGATCCGAAACCTCTCCCACCACAACCCCCAGCTCCAGCGAACCAGGACCAGAACTCTTCGCAGAGCACCAGACTGCAGCCAACTCCACCCGTTCCAGCACTAGCACCCAAGCCTGCTGCACCCCCACGCCCCCTGGACCAAGACAGTCCTGGGGTGGAAAACAAACTGATTCCTTCCGTGGGCAGCCCCGCCAGCTCCACGCCACTGCCCCCTGATGGCACCGGGCCCAACTCGACGCCCAACAACCGCGCTGGGACCCCCGTCTCCCAGGGGAGCAGTAGCTCTTCAGCAGATCCCAAAGCCCCCCCACCTCCACCGGTGTCCGGTGGCGAGCCACCCCTCCTGGGGGAGAACCCCGACGGGCTGTCCCAGGAGCAGCTGGAGCACCGGGAGCGCTCCTTACAAACTCTCCGAGACATCCAGCGGATGCTCTTCCCCGATGAGAAAGAATTCACGGGAGGGCAAAGCGGGGCGCCCCAGCAGAACACTGGGGTGTTAGATGGACCGCAGAAGAAGCCAGAGGGGCCGATTCAGGCCATGATGGCCCAGTCCCAAAGCCTAGGCAAGGGACCTGGACCCCGGACAGATGTGGGAGCGCCATTTGGCCCCCAAGGACATAGAGATGTCCCCTTCTCTCCAGACGACATGGTTCCACCTCCCATGAACTCCCAGGCTGGGCCCATAGGACCCGACCACCTAGACCACATGACTCCTGAGCAGATCGCTTGGCTGAAGCTGCAGCAGGAGTTTTATGAGGAGAAGCGGAGGAAGCAGGAGCAAGTGGTGGTCCAGCAGTGCTCCCTCCAGGATATGATGGTCCATCAGCATGGGCCTCGGGGCGTGGTCCGGGGGCCGCCGCCTCCCTACCAGATGACGCCAGGGGAAGGCTGGGGGCCTGGGGGTGCAGAGCCGTTCTCTGACGGTATCAACATGCCACACACGCTGGCCCCTCGGGGCATGGCCCCCCATCCCAACATGCCGGGGAGCCAGATGCGCCTCCCTGGATTTGCAGGGATGATGGGCTCTGAAATGGAGGGGCCAAACGTCCCCAACCCGGCATCTAGACCAGGTCTTTCTGGAGTCAGTTGGCCCGATGATGTGCCAAAAATCCCAGATGGTCGAACCTTCCCTCCCGGCCAGGCCGTCTTCAGTGGTCCCGGCCGAGGGGAGCGCTTCCCAAACCCCCAAGGGTTGTCTGAAGAGATGTTTCAGCAGCAGCTGGCGGAGAAGCAGCTGGGCCTGCCCCCCGGGATGAGCATGGAAGGCATCCGGCCCAGCATGGAGATGAATAGGATGATCCCAGGTGCTCAGCGACATATGGAGCCTGGGAGTAATCCCATTTTTCCTCGAATACCAGTTGAGGGTCCGCTGAGTCCTTCCAGGGGCGACTTCCCCAAAGGAATTCCCCCACAGATGGGCCCTGGTCGGGAACTTGAGTTTGGGTTGGTTCCCAGTGGCATGAAGGGAGACGTCGGCCTCAACATCAGCATGGGCTCCAACTCTCAGATGCCATCTCAGAAGCTGCGAGAGGCTGGGGCCGGGCCGGAGGAGATGATGAAAATGCGCCCCGGGGTTTCGGAGATGCTGCCCGCTCAGCAGAAGATGGTACCCCTGCCGTTCGGCGAGCACCCTCAGCAAGAGTATGGCATGGGCCCTAGGCCGTTTCTCCCCATGTCTCAGGGTCCAGGCGGCAACAGTGGCTTGCGGAATCTCAGAGAACCAATTGGACCCGACCAAAGGACTAACAGCCGGCTCAGTCACATGCCACCACTACCTCTCAACCCTTCCAATAACCCCACTAGCCTCAACACAGCTCCTCCCGGTCAACGCGGTCTGGGCCGGAAGCCCTTGGATATCTCTGTGGCAGGCAGCCAGGTGCACTCCCCCGGCATTAACCCTCTGAAGTCTCCCACCATGCGCCAAGTCCAGTCACCCATGCTGGGCTCGCCATCAGGGAACCTCAAGTCCCCCCAGACTCCATCGCAGCTGGCAGGCATGCTGGCGGGCCCAGCTGCCGCTGCTTCCATTAAGTCCCCTCCAGTCCTGGGGTCTGCTGCTGCTTCGCCTGTTCACCTCAAGTCGCCGTCCCTTCCGGCCCCGTCGCCTGGGTGGACCTCCTCTCCAAAACCTCCCCTGCAGAGTCCCGGGATCCCTCCCAACCACAAAGCACCCCTCCCCATGGCCTCCCCAGCCATGCTGGGAAGTGTCGAGTCAGGTCAGTATGCCCGCTCACCCTCACTCTCGCCCTGTCCGGAGGCGGCTCCAGTCGCCCCGGTTTACTCGCTGTCGGCAGGCTGACATCCTAAGTTGATTGGGCAGCAGCCAGCACAGGGCAGCCTTTGTGGCGAGGGCCATGGTGCATCCGCCGAGTTACGCACAGCCGTCCAACCCAGGCAAAGACACGTCGGGTGGGGCTGCCTGGACAACAGGCGGGAAAATGGGAACTAGATGTCCGTTTACAGAGTGACTTAGATGGCAGGGGGACCACCTGCTGGGGACATAAAGCATCCTAACAGCGGGAAATGAGGCTGCCCTCATGCCGGGAGCTGCTGGGTAGAATCCTAAGCAGGACTCAATGGCGTAGCAGAAATGTGTGCCGCCGTTTGGAACACAGTGACCACAGCCGGCTCCGCAGTCAGCTGCCATGCTCCCAGCTGAGCTGCAGTCTCCCGAGTGTCTTCCTCCTGGGAGAGGCCCTCACAGATGATGGTGCTTTTGGGAAGGGGGCTGGAAACAGTCAGTGGCACATGAGCACCGTGGTGTAACTACCAGGCCATCTCCACTTGAGAAAAGACTAGTGTGGGAACAAGCGAAGTGATCTTCCTGCCGGGCTAAAGTGCCTCTCACTGTTGGGCCGCACAGCTCACTGAAGCAGGACAGCAAAGCTGCCCCTGCAGACCTTTCTAATTCAAACACCTCAGGGGTGAGAATTAACCGGGAAGGCGTGTAGGACAGCGCAGTTAGGGCCAGAGGTGGGGCTACCGCCTGGCTGCGTAGCAAACTTAATACCTGAGCGAAACTACGCAGTGACGGGAGCTGAAGGAGAGCCGACAGCTCCGAGTTCTCTTCAGCAAAGCAGCTGGCCTTAAGCTATGTCTCTCCCCGGCGTGGACTCACATCGCTAGTGCATTCTTTGTGTGCGTCTTCCCACCGGCTGATCCCCCTGCACATGCACGCGCAGCCTGACTGGAAGATTGATGATGCCTCTTCTGGGTCTAATAACACTGTCCTGCTCGTCCGCTCGTTCTCGGCCTTGCTGTTTCATGATCACCGGGCCCGGGAGCCTCCACCCGGGACCCAGTGCCCTGCCCGTTTTTGTATGATTTTCTCTCTTCTCCTAGGTGGGCCCCCACCTCCTGCAGCCAGCCAGTCTGCCTCTGTGAATGTCCCCGGAAGTCTTCCCTCTAGTACACCCTACACCATGCCTCCCGAGCCGACCCTGTCCCAGAACCCTCTCTCGATTATGATGTCTCGAATGTCCAAGTTTGCAATGCCCAGTTCGACCCCCCTGTACCATGATGCCATCAAGACCGTGGCCAGCTCAGACGACGACTCCCCTCCAGCTCGGTCGCCCAACTTGCCATCAATGAACAATATGCCAGGTGAGCACTCAGGGAGATGGGCTTCTGAGCCAGGGATGCTGCACGCTATGTTCTCAGTGGCTGTGGACCCACCTAGAGCGGATTCTTCGCCCTCCAAATGTCCCAGCTGAAAGCTCTACTGGGTGTCAGTAGAATTAGAAGTGTCTTGACTGGAACAAGCTGTAACTGTTGTTGCTGTTGTTAAGGTAACTGAAGGGAGCCCTGGGGGCATAGGGTTGCGTATCGGGCTGCTAACTGCAAAGTCCACGCTGGAAGGCCACCAGCCGCTCCCTGGGAGAAAGACGGCTTTCTCCTTCCGATAGAGTCACAATCTCAGAAACAGCCGGGGCAGTTCTACTCTGTCCTAGTGGGCCACGCTGAGCCGGCGTGGGCTCGGAAGCAGTGAGGGAGCATGATTGGGGTTTGCTCATAAGACGTGGCTGTGTTGCTGCTCGGCCTGCATGGAGTGGTGCCGCCCAGAGCCACACCGGACGCACTGGCTCTGAATGTGGCTGGACTGCCCTGCGTCCTGAAGGCTTCCCGGGGAGGGCAGCCTCAAGCCACAAGCGGCCCAAGTCCTCCATCAGAGAAGCTCCTATTTTCTCAAGACGCACATTTTTTTGGACTAGGGGGCATCATAAAAGCCCTCCCTCCCCTACCCACCCCGTGCCTCCCTTTGCTCCGATTCTACACAAACAGGAGGTGATCTGGGAAGCTGAGGCGATCGCAAAGAGACAGTGACTTTTCAGCCGTGGATTTCTGGTTGCAGTTTGATTCTGATGGTTAGAAATGCCATTGTTGGTCATCCTGATTAGTCGGATCAGGACATGCTCCGTGGTATGCGAGCCTCATCTTTCCTGCTGGCCTGTGTTCATCCAGTGAGATGACCACGGCAGATGGGGGCGCCAAAGACGCCAGTAGAACCTGTGCACTTTCCGTTCCCAGGAGAGCTCTTGAGTATTTCGTGCAGCCCGGGTTTTAAACACACTCAGCGGGGCGCATAGAATGATCATACCAGATGCCAGTTGAAACAATGCCCCCCCCCACACACACACCCTTGATTCGTGGAGTTTGTAGGCCTGGTGAGTTCTTCACCAAGTGTCCTGCTGAAGTCAGTGAGGCCAGTTGTTTCTCCCGTGTTGTCTCCAGTGAAGACCACTGGCCACCTTTGTTTATTAATTTGTAACTTCCCACACAGGAGAGTCTCTCTTTAGCTACCTTCTACACACACCCTATATCATACAGTTTATAGTAGCAGAGTGTCACGCCGAGCGGTTGGTTTTGTGTCCCCAGATGGAATATTACGGAGAACGGACTGTTCGGAATGCTTCCTCAGCACAGTACTGTGCACATTAGATGCACAGTGGTATTTTGTTATTTTACTTTTTTAAACAGAGTTTTAAGATTGCCTTTGGCTGAGTTGATTCCTTTGATATCTTTATTTTTCTAGGAATGGGCATTAATACGCAGAATCCTCGAATTTCAGGTCCAAACCCCGTGGTTCCGATGCCAACCCTTAGCCCCATGGGAATGACCCAGCCACTCTCTCACTCCAACCAGATGCCCTCTCCGAATGCCATGGGACCCAGCATACCTCCTCATGGGGTCCCCATGGGGCCTGGCTTGATGTCACACAATCCGATGATGGGACACGGATCCCAGGAGCCTCCGATGGTACCTCAAGGACGGATGGGCTTTCCCCAGGGCTTCCCTCCAGTACAGTCTCCTCCACAGCAGGTCCCATTCCCTCACAATGGCCCCAGCGGCGGGCAGGGCAGCTTCCCAGGCGGCATGGGTTTCCCAGGCGAAGGCCCCCTCGGCCGCCCCAGCAACCTGCCCCAAAGTTCAGCAGATGCAGCACTTTGCAAGCCTGGAGGCCCGGGGGGTCCCGACTCCTTCACTGTCTTGGGGAACAGCATGCCTTCAGTGTTTACAGACCCAGATCTGCAGGAGGTCATCCGACCCGGAGCCACCGGAATCCCCGAGTTTGATCTGTCCCGCATTATTCCATCCGAGAAGCCCAGCCAGACACTGCAATATTTCCCTCGAGGGGAAGTCCCAGGCCGTAAACAGCCCCAGGGTCCTGGACCCGGGTTTCCGCACATGCAGGGCATGATGGGCGAGCAAGGCCCCCGTATGGGACTGGCGTTACCTGGCATGGGAGGACCAGGGCCAGTGGGAACTCCGGACATCCCTCTGGGTACAGCTCCCTCCATGCCAGGCCACAACCCAATGAGACCGCCTGCCTTTCTCCAGCAAGGCATGATGGGTCCCCACCACCGGATGATGTCACCAGCACAATCGACGATGCCCGGCCAGCCCAGCCTGATGAGCAATCCAGCCGCTGCCGTGGGCATGATTCCTGGCAAGGACCGGGGCCCCGCCGGGCTCTACACCCACCCGGGACCCGTGGGCTCTCCAGGCATGATGATGTCCATGCAGGGCATGATGGGACCCCAACAGAACATCATGATCCCCCCACAGATGCGGCCCCGGGGCATGGCTGCTGACGTGGGCCTGGGTGGATTCAGCCAAGGACCTGGCAACCCAGGGAACATGATGTTTTAAGCTGCTAAGATTGGATGTGCCGACCCTTGTCAAGATGAGATTCCAGGTCCTGCGGCTGCTCTGCGCAAGCTCCGGACGTGCTATTGATCATGCAATAGGAGAACGGGGACCCGAGGGCTGCTTTGGGGGAGGGGGGAACCTCGAGAATGTATGGATTTACCTGAAAACAAATTATTCATTTAATCAACAGGTGTGTTTTTTTTTAAGATTTATTTTTTAAAAATTATTTTTGTGGACTTGGGTATCCCGTGATGGCACCTACTTTGGGGACTCCGTAGCCGTGCTTTGAGAATTGCCATCAGTCCTGTGTTGCACCGGTCTCTGTATGTTTACGTCCTTCGGACTGGCTCCTCCCAGGATTGGTTTCTGGTTTCGTTTTCGTTTGCCCCCCCACCCCCTTTTATTTGGGCTTTATTAATTTTGTGTGTGTGTGTGTGTGTGTGTACTGTACTATATTGTAAAGGGATTTTAGCAGAGACTTTTAGTCTTTGGGACAAGAGGAGAACAGGAATGCTGGGCTGTTTACTTTAGGTGGAGAATCCATCTTCAGACCTTTGGACTATTTTCTTTCAACTCCAGTGTATAGAAAAACCAAACTACGACCTCAGAGCAGAGTATTAATGAAAAGCACAAAAAAAGAAAAAAAAAAAGGAACTAAGTTCAGCAAGGGGTGGGGGGAGGGGGGATTTTTTTTTTTAATAACGATGCTTAGGACATTCGTTTCGCATTCAAGTGCTCTTCAGCACAGTCTGTCTTCTCCCAGAATACAAACCAACCTCCACAAGTTCCCCGCATTGTCCCTCTCCCCTCTTCCCCAGCTCCCCGTGTGCCCCCCGCCCCCCTGCCCTGTGCTAACCCAGGCTCTCCTTTGCTCGTTCCCTCTGGCAGCTGCAATACACGGTGTTATTTTAGGGAAGTACATGTAGCGCAGCCTCACCTGCCATGCCGAGCACCCTTCGAGAGGGGAAGGTCGGGATGCTCTGTGTGGCCTCTTCCCCCTCACCACCCCCTCCCCACCCCCTCCCCACCTTAGTCTTTTGCCCCCCAGCCCCCAAACCCTCCTCTGCCCCGTCGCCGTCGTCTGTCCCCTTTTAGTGGGGGTTCCCAGTGAACTTCTCGATGTGGGAGTGGGACAGATGCTAACAGCTCTCCAGGATTTCGGGGTTCTTTTTCTTTTGTTGTTCTGTTTCTTTTTTTTGTTCTGTTTTGTTTCAGTTTTGTGGTTTCTTCCCTTTCCCCTCCCATGCGTAAAACGTTCTGTGTAACCTTCATTAAATTTGGTACAAAACCACTCGCCAGAGCTGTGGTGTCAGAAAAATAAAATATATTGTTTCTTATAAAATCGCACTGCCTGTTTCTGTCTCCGCCCATGTGGATTCTTGTACAAGTGTTGGCCACCCAAAGGCCGGGACAATGGCCTCTCCTGGTCGGTCACCAGGACCACGATGACGACGATGAGCGGGCGGGAGTCCACGAAAGTGGCGTCTCCAGTGAAGAAGGAACTGCTGGAGTAGGTTTGTCCTGTAACCACCTGGGTGGGGCTGTCGGGTAAGCGTTGCACTACTAACCTGAGGTCAGCAGTTCATACCCCCCAGCCAGGCCTTGGCAGAAAGATGAGGCTGGCTGTTCCTGAAGACGGACAGCCTTGGAAACCCTTGATAGCAGGTGTGGGACCTTTCTTTTGTGCCAAGACCCGTTTGGCTCTTCATGAACATCTTTCTTGGGCCACACTGGTCAAACACGTCATCACCCCCCACCCCCTTCCCAGTGTATGGGCTGGAACGGCTGCTCTTCGGGGAGGGCTGAGACGTTGTCAGCTGGCACGGATGATTTTGCGGGCCTGATGCAGCCTGTGGTCCAGATGTTCCCCACCATCGCTTTATGGGGTTGTGAGTCTGAACTCCCATGGGAGCGAGTATGCCGGCCACCAATCCAAGAGCGAGCCTGGTCCCTACTACTAATTACCTTTGGTGCAATTATCCTTATTAGCAAATTTCTCAAGATCCGTTGAATGGCATGCAGTAATTAAGGCTGCAGTATTTCCAGTCGTTTCAATAGGTTGTGAGGTAGTTGGCTGGCTTTTTCTTTTAGTTAAGGTAAAATCTCTCATAATTGCGCATCATGGGTATCCACCCAGCCTCCCTCAGCCTCACTGTCCACCCAGCCTCCCCTCCAGCAAGCCCCCGGGGCAGCCTGTGTGCATAGTTCGCTCCCACCCCCTGCCTTCAGCACGTCCGTGTGGATCCTGCGAGGTGTGTGTCTGAGGGACTCGCTGTTGGTGTTTCTGTGCAGTTGGATTTGTTCGGGTGTATGTGTGTCTTGGAGTTGCCGTTGGCCGTGTTCGGGCGTGAGTGGGCGTCTGTTGTGTTTGTTCCTAGGTGTGAGGATCTGAGTGGGGACAGCAGGTGCAGAGAAAGACAAATGGGGCTCTGCGGGCGTTTCACAGTCTGGGTGCTACCTGAGAATGTTGCTCTAAGAACACTTTTGCAAAGCTGTTTGCATTTTCTCTTCCATTTTCCGCAGTTATCTTCTCAGTAACCTAAGAGCCCCAGACAACAACAACAACAAATGTGGAGATGCCCATTTGGTATCTGCTCTGCCAATCACCTCCACGTGTTGGCATTGGGCTAGTTTCTGAACGGCCCTGTGGATGAGGCGGTGTCCTCTCGTGTACAGAGGAGAAAACTGAGGTCTTTCACTGAAGAATTTGCACACAGATCCATCTGTCCCGCTGTTCACGAATAGCGACCTTTTTATGTTGTGGAGAGATTAGTAAAATAAGGACAATGAGTCTTGGATTCAGCCACCTTCGCAGGTTCTCTGTCCTGGAAGTACCCAGAAGCGGATTAAAACCAGCAAAGAATGTGAGGTAAAGTGCAAAGAATGTGAGGTAAGAGCCCTGAGGCGTGGTCAAGCCTGGCGTCTGTGGTCACTGCTGGTGTCTGGAGACCCCTTTGCTACCACCCCAGCCGTGGAGCCAAGGCAAAGAAAGGAGCGCAAAGTAGCCCCCATGTCGAGGGCAGGTCTCTGGACGGTGGGCCTGTGAAGGGGAGCACCGCAGCACAAGCAGGGGGAGGGGCAGGAGGCCGGATGTGGCTCCCCTCACCCGATGCCCCTGCTGGAAACCTGGGGCAGTGCAAATTCAACTGGCCTGCTTCTCTCCCACCCGCTGAGTTGAAAGTGGCATAGTGAGTTATAAATTGGGCTGCTAACCACAAGGTCAGCAGTTGGTTCAAAACCACCAGCCACTCATTGGGAAGAATATCAGGCTTTCTACTCCCACCAAAGGTTACAGTCTCGGAAACCCATGGAGACACGTCGACTCTGCCCTAGAGGGTCGCTGTGAGAATCGACTCGATTGATTGAGTGGCGAGTGAGGTGGCTCCATGGGTAATCAGCTCAACGGTTACCTGAAGGACCAGTAGTGTGAACCGGAGGAAGGCCCTGGCAATTTGTGCTCATAGCTTACTGCCTGGGAGCCCTATAGAGCCCTTTCCATGCCACCCTATAGGATCCTGATGCGTCGGAAATGAGGAGTCGCTGGTTGAGCTTTGAAAAGACCCCTCCATAAATCTCCATTCATTTGCCTTATATGCCAACATTTTATCACAATAACATTTACTTAAGCTTAAACGCAACAATCCGTCATTTACGAAGCACAGATTAAAAGACTGAATGCTATTGCATGGAGAAGTGTTCATGGGGAAAAATGTTTAATTAAAACAAAAACCAAAACCGTGATAAAGATGCTCACGTTAACATCGTCCTGTGAAAGCCAGCCAGTTTGGCCCCCTCCAGGGCTGGGATGGAGTCCGGCACTGGTGACTGAGCACTTTAATCGGGGGAACTGGTTTGGGGTAGGTGAGGGCATTACTTCCTAAAGACTGACAGGGAGGATGGCCTGGGTGGCGCAAGTGGTTTGCGAGTGATGCTAGCCTCAAAGTTAGAGGTTCAAACCTAGCCAGTAGCTTGTCTGTCTGTTTACCTGAACATGACCGTGCGGACTCAGGCCGACCCTACAGACAGGACAGGGTAGGACGGCCAGCCCCTGTGAGCTCCTTATGGAAGTAGAAAGCCCTGTCTTTCTCCCTCAGAGAGGGTGGTAGTTTTGAACTGCAGACCTTGCGGGTTGTAACCCAATATACAACCCCTGTGCCGCCAGGGCTTCAGAAGATGACATCCAAGAAAAACAGTAATTCTATGCTTGCAACACATGGGGCCAACCCCGTGGCTGTTGTGTTTTTCCCCTAAAACAATGCAAAGTGAGATCATCTCTTAAAAAGAGAATCCCTACTAACCAATGAAAGCACGCACACACACACACACACACACACACACACACACACCAATCCTATCGCAGGAGCGGAAGCGGCGATGGCATGAGAAAATATTTATAATTTTTAAAAAATGGTGTGACATCTTTTAAACCCGTCCTTTAAAAAAAGGAATTAAAAAATCGATGCAAAATGTCTCCCAGCCTCTCTCCCAGCCCCCTACACTTCTTGATATGGTAATCATGATGCAGCTGCGCTCACCGGGCTGCACGGGGCGGGCGGGCAACCTCTGCATTTGCACAGGCCCCGGGCTTGGTTTAATGCTCTGCTGCTGCTGTTGGAAATTCTTAATAATTTCTGAACCAGAAGCCGTGCGTTTTCATTTTGCATGTAGCCCCATGAAGCACACAGCAGAAATCAGCGGCCCCACGCTGGGATGCCCGGCTCCACTCCTTTCTCCTCGCCAGCAGCTGGGGGTGCCCCAGGCAGCACCACCTCTGCTGTGTGCCCGTGTAAACGGTCCACACTTGAATTGAGCCTTTTCCTTTCCTTTCCCGAGTGCCCTTAAAGTGCTGGGAGGCGAGGGAAGTTGTATTTAACCCCAAGCCCAACCAGTTGCTGACTCGGACCCTTGGCAACCCCATGTGGATCAGCGTCAACGGTGCCCAGGGGTAGGATTTGCAAAGGCTGGGTTTTCACAAGTAGATTGCCAGTCCTTTCTACTGAGCTGCATCTGGCTAGCCTTGTGGTTGAACTGGTTCCTTTCAGACTCCCCAGGGACTCATTCAGCAAACGTTGCTAGAGCACCAATGGTGTGCAAAGGATTGTACTAAGACAAACAGAAACCAAAACCTTATTGCCCTGGAGTTGATGCCAACTGCAAACAACCTAGCACTGCCCCTGTGGATTTCCAAGACTCCACCCCTTTATGGGAATAGAAAGCCTCATCTTCCTCCTGTGGAACAACTGGGGGTTTTGAACCGCTGACCTTGGGGTTAGCAGCCCAACACACTATGCCACCAGAAAATTCCCAGGCTGGCTGCTATGGGAGAGGTGCTGGCAGTGAAGCAGGCCAGCGAGGAAGGCTCGACAAGCCTCAAAGGAAAAGTGAGTCCCTGAGTAAGGGGTGGGGGTGGGTATTTAAGCCGAGGCGATAGGAGGAGCAAGGCCCTACCTGCTGAACCCGCCTGGCTCAGAGGGACAGGTGGACGTTGATATGGCTGGAGTAGAGCATTTAAGGGGGGCAAGGAGGGGTGGGGAAAAATAAACACAGAGCGGGGCCCCTCATGAATAAACCTGCCGCTAAGGCATCCAAAAGACCAGGCAATCCGATTGGCCCCCCTGCAAGAGAACTACTACGCAGCAGCAGGCAATGAGGGCCACCGGAGGACACTGGC